TCCGTGCCGCGGAATAAGTACACTGTATACGCCCTGGCTCTACCAGTGAAGGCTCTGCCGTCGGTTTGAATGTTCGAACGGGAAAAAAGCGCGACCCACCCGCTGCCAATCGGAAGGCGCCATTGCCAACACCCGATTTTTTTTTCCACAATTACATTTTACTTTTTGCCCCTCTTAAAACGCTTGACTTGAGGTGCCCCGGCCCGTTTCTTCTCTCCGTCCTTGTTCCCTTGTTCGCCTCCGTCTCCTCCTCTTGCTGGAAAAAAAATGGTCCCTGCCGCTGTAAGGTGCTGAAGTACTACTTTCTGTGCGGTGTTTTCTGGTCCTGGCGAACAGGTTCCGCCGCGACTATCCCCTCCCCGGCCGCCCCCGGCCCTCCCTCGGCGCGCTGGAATGACACTGGAACGGGACAGGGCCGGACAGGGCAAACCTGCCACACGCCCTCCCCCGCACGGCCTGCCCGCCCGCCGCAGCCTCCAGTGCACTCCGACAGCCTAAACTGGTTTTGGCGGGGCGGGGCTCGGCGCTGGCGAGCTGGCAGCGACCGGAGAGGAGAGGAGACCCACCCCTGCAGCCCGAAGCCGCAGCGCCACTGCGAGCCGCTCGTGGTCAAAAGCACGCTCCAGCTAGGGTCCTACGCTCCAGCCCGAGTGAAGCGTCCTTGCGGTGTGGTGGCAGAGTGCAGGCCACTGTTTCGCCTCGCCGATATGTGTGTGTGTGTGTGAGTGTGTACACAGCACGCGTGCGAGCGAAAGTCTCTCTCTCACGACAGCCCAGCCCGATGAAAGCAACACGGACTCAATCACCAATTTCACCCCATTTCTCTGTGCGCCTCGTCGGGGCACGCACGCGCTAGCGTCCGTCTCTCTCGCACGCGTGCGGGGCGCGTGGAGAGAGACAGAGAGAGGCGAAAACGACTCGCAGTGTGCATCGTGGCGCACGTGGCCTGCTCGGTGGCGGCCGTGACGAGGAGGAGAGCCGACGCCGCCGATCGACGACCACGTCGTTTTTGGCAGTGTGGCGTTCCGCTGCCGTGGCCGTTACGTCCGTCACGTTGACGTCGGATGTCAGCGCCGTGGCGCGCACAGTGGGCCAGAAGCCTGTGCAGGCGGACAGAACTCTAGTCGCGTTTTGAGCCCCAGAGTCGCTAAATGGGACTCGAAACGAACGTGTGACCCCACCAATGGATTGCTCTCCGAACGAGGAATCCATTGGTGGGGTCACACGTTCGTTTCGAGGCCTGTTTAGCGACGTTGGAGCTCAAAACGCGTCTGGAGTTTTGGCCGCCTCCACCGGTCTTCTGGCCCACTGTGGCGTGGCGTGGCCATCGGCGTGGCGCCGCGGATCTGGCCCTTTGTGCCACGCCGGGAACGACGAAAATAGGGAATGAAAAGAGGATCTCGCCAGGCCTGGCCGTCGGCGCCGCGTCGTTTAAGGACGGCCCCTCAGGACGTTCCCGCTCGAAGCACACTGGAAGGAAGTCCCCGCGGCGCGCCTCCAGTGTCGCGTCAGGCCAAGCCTTAGGCCAGGCCCCCGCATCGCAGCATCGCAGGCCCGTGGGGTCAAATGCGCATGACCCGAGTATTTCCCGCAGGGCGTGGGGCGAGGCACACTCGCAGGCGGACCGCAGTGGGCCAGAAGACCGGTGGAGGCGGCCAAAACTCTAGACGCGTTTTGAGCTTCAGAGTCGCTAAATGGGACTCGAAACGAACGAGTGACCCCACCAATGGATTGCTCTCCGAACGAGGAAAACGTTGGTGGGGTCACGCGTTCGATTCGAGTCCCATTTAGCGACTCTGGAGCTCAAAACGCGTCTGGAGTTTTGTCCGCCTCCACCGGTCTTCTGGCCCACTGTGCCGGTCCCTCGCGAGTCTGGGGCCCTGTCGTCGTGCACCGGGGTCCTTGGCGCTGCCGCCGCCGTCGTTCCCGCGCTGTGAGCCGTGTCCTTGGCTGCCGACCGCGTCGGGATATTACGACAAAATATGCCATGAGAATCGAAAACGACCCAGATCCCGTCGCCACCGGCCATTGCACACGGCGTGTCTGAGACACTGTCTGGCGTGCCTGCTGGGAGACTGGCTGACTGTCAATCGCAGTGGGGGCGCCGTGCCGCGCCGCGCGGGTACACTGTATCAGCGACGCTGGAGCGCCTGTGAAGTCGGGGGTAGGCAGTACCGCCACGCATGGCCGCCTCGCTGGCCTGCCTACCCCCACGGCGTCAAGGACCCCCTTAAGCATGGACACACTTCTTCTAGGTCTCAGGATGGCACATTGAAGCGCCCTTTCTGACGCTCAGACGTTAGATTTCCTGTCAATTTCTCATGTGGTATGATTCGCGCCCAAGCCGTCTTTTTTTAGGCACGAAGTAGCCTTTTTTTTTTTTTTTTTGCGCGCGCGCGGAAGCAAATTGACTGGGGGCTGCCGTGCGCGCGCCGCGCGGCCCGCGGTCTTGCGCCACCGAGTCACGCCACTCGAATCGGAACGGCAATGTGAATGTGATGGCGCGAGGCCCGAATCGCAATAACGCGCCGCGGCGCACGCCGTCATATGCATGCCCGTTATTTGCACGCGTGGCGTTTTGTTTCGTGCGAATAACGCTGCCTCTCCCCCTGTCTCCCTGCTTCGCGCTCCGCCTTTGTCGACTGTCGTTTCATTTCGGTCAAGGGTGTCAACCTTTGCACTCGCAGTGGCGGCCCGGCGAAAGGTTGGCGTGTGCGGGTTTGCGAGGCTGCGGGGCTGCGGGGGCGTGATTGAGATTGGGATTGAAATCGAAAACCCCTTTCGCCTCTCGCTGTGGCGGTGCGTGGCGGTGCACGCCGCTCAAAGGTAGACAAGTTTTTGCCTTTTTTCCGACCTTCGGCAGACCAATGTTCCTAGAGCCGTTGTCCGCGGCTCTCTCTCGCTCTCACTCACTCGTAAGGCTTCCCACATGGGTGCGAGAGAGACAGAGCGACGAAAAGCACTATCGAAATCAATCTGCAGGCCTGTCTCTGTGGGACTTCCCTGCGGGTGCGAGAGAGACAGGCGCTGAATCGGTCAGTTTTCGGCAAAACGCGAGGCTTCGACGACGCGGCCACGGCGCTCGTTAGACAGAGAGAGGGGGGGGGGGGGGGGGTGATTGGCAGGCCGGCGATCGGCGACTGCAGGCTGCCGAGGGGGGAGGGAGAGAGAGAGAAGAGAGAGAGAGAGAGAGAGAGAGAGAGAGAGAGAGAGAGAGAGAGAGAGAGAGGCAGGCGCCGCCCCGTCGCGGAGGTGTCGCTGAACAATGGGAGCGTTACTCCTGCCGCGGAAGAAGAAAAAGGAGGTGTGGGAGTTTCCTCGACAACAACAACACACGTGTTGATTGGCATGCAGGTCGGGTTGCGCAACAACTGCTACCCGTGTTGTTGCAGCCTCCCCCTCCCCTCCCCCTCGCGCGTTTTCGGAGATTGACTCGTTTTGAGTGCGCGGACGGGACTGCGAACCTTGAGTCGCCCCGCCCGCCGTGACGCCCAGAGAGGACTCTGGCGAATCTCGCTGTGGAGCGGGCCGCACTGCAATGCACTGCAATGTAATGAGAAAGTCGTGTCGCTCGCCGAGATAATCGCGGGGGAGGCCGCGGCGCCGCGGCAGCGACTGATCGCTCTGTCCCTCTCGCACTCGCGGGGCGCTCCGTACAGGCGCGAGAGAGAGAGAGCGGGAGAGGCGACTCTCGGAATCAGTCTGCAGCAGACTGATGATTCCAAAGCGTTGCTCTGTCTCTCTCGCACCCTCGGGGCACGCCCCGCGAGTGCGAGAGGGACAGAAGAAAAGCGACGAGCCGCGTGACGAGCGCGGACCGGCAGAGCGCCGCCTGCGCCGCCCCGCGAGCCCTAGCGCAAATGGAGTGCACTTGCTATCGGCACTCGCCACTGTTAATTAGCAGTGTGGAAATCGCGGGTGGGACCCGACCCTCTCGCCGGCTTCTCTCGTGCGGGCCTTACAGTGTAGCGCTCAGGCAACCCGCACGGCCGGCCAAGCGCCTCACAGTGGACCAGGAGGCGGTCAAAATCCCGGACGCGTTTTGAGCTCCAGCGTCGCGAACTGGGACTCGAACCGTGTGACCCCACCAATCCATTGGTGGGGTCACACGTCCGGTTCGAGTCCCATTTAGCGACGCTGGAGCTCAAAACGCGTTAGAGTTTTGGCCGCCTCCTCGGTCTTCTAGCCCACTGTACGCCTTGGGGTCGGCAAACTTCGGGAGTAGTCCCAGTTCCAGGTGAACTGGTGGCAAGGCACGCTTCAGAGCGCAGCCGCGCCACCCTCGCCCCCATGCATGACCCAGGTGAACCTAACCTAACCTGCGCGCATGGCGGCGCTTTGCGGCGCCACGCTGGCCGCGCAGTCGCTTTCACTGAAGGGCTTGTCTGGCCGGCGTGGCTGGCGCGGCTTGGCGCTAGCAGCTAGCTTCTGGGCTGGGGCTGGGCTCGCTCCGAGAGTCGTCTTCGTCGTGCTGACTCTCTCGCACTCGACGGGCCTCGCCTGTTGGTGCGAGAGAGACTCTCGGAATCGGCGTGCAGGGCGCTTCCCGCCGGCCGCGCGTCGCTTCGGTCCCTTCGCTTTACGTAAGTGGAGTACCTACGGTACCTGCGGCCGCCTGGCCGGGCCGCCTGGCCGCCTACACGGCGCGCAAACCACTACACTGCCCCCCTCTCCCCCTCCCCTCCCCCGCCCCGGCCCGGCCCGCTGCTGGGGCCAGTGACACTACGAGGGAATGCCCGCCCGCCGCTGCTTTGACCTACGTTCTATGTTGAACACGCTGACTGTTGCTTTTGTCCATTGGTGCTTGTTTCAAGCATGGCTGACGCCTTTTCCGTGTTGATAACAATTTTTAATAGTCTTAACAGATGCTCATTTTGCAGAAGTTTATTTTGATTTGTATGTTTTGCACCTGACTTGGCCGCGCGGCGCGCTAGGATGTGCTGTTTTCGTCCGAATCATCTTTCTCGTTTCTGATAAATTTTGTGTCGTCTTTTTTGCAGCACGACTCAGCCATGGATTACATTCCAACGAGGATGACGAAGGTCTCAACGCCCAAGCCAGCGGCGAACCCTCTGCAGTTCGTCAAGGTGGGGCCCTGCGACCTCTTCAAATCAGCTCAAGAAACCCTGAAGAAGGTGGAGGAAGTGAAGAAGATGAAGAGGGAGGTCCGGGATGAAGCCGAGGAGTGGCAGTCTGTAAGTCATCTACCTACTAAGCTGGGTGATAAAAATTTAGTGGATGATCATGACCTTTTCTTGGGCACTGTAACTTACCGCAATATTTATTTTCCAGAATTTAGACAATTGGAAGTGCAGTCGAAGGAAGAGGGTGGAGCATATAATCGACAGAGTTGTAGAAGTAAAGAAATTTGAACTGGAAGAGCATGAACGCAACAGGAGAAAGGCAAAAACATTCAGTGAAATGATGGAAGAAAGGTATGTCATGTGTTATTGTGTGTTTACGTGTTATTTAAAGACTTGGGGCAAGTGTAATAATTTAAAAAATTGGTTCCAGGACATCGAGGGGGAGAAAAATGAGTCTCCTTGTCCACAAGGATGACGATTCAAACGATCTGAGTGATCTTGGAATTGGCACAAGTAGTGACAAAAGTAGTGTGAGTGAAGATTTTACAAATGATGACAACCACAGCATGGTAAGTTTCTGTCTGTCTTTTGTTCTCCTTTTTTCTTTTTTTCTTTTATCTTAAGATTCAATTTTTGTTTTTACAGGATGATGGAGATGTGTCACTAAAAAGCCACTACCATGACCAAAATGGTAACAGCAAACAAAACGGTGCAAGAGGCAAGGTTGCAACTAATGGGCATGATGATGATACATCAACCAATGCAACAATCTCTTCGCCAGAACCAGAGGAATACACATATGACAGAGCCATTCAAGGCTACATGAATTTTACAGAAACTAGAGTCAAGTCAAGAAATGTGACCCATGCTTCTAGGTCAGAAACTGAAATAGTCGAAGATGGTCCGATGGAAAAATCCACTAAACCATCACCTCAAAAGCGTTCGCCTGCTACAGGTCCTAAATCACGAAAGGATTCAGTAAATGTAGAAGAAGATATTGCTGACATGGAAAGACTACAGTCAAGGAAGTTCAGTGGGTCATCTAGTGATTTACAATCCTCTGAAAAGAAGCTCAATGTTCCTAAAGTGGACATTCTTAAGAGGAAGGAACTTTTTGAGAGATCTGAATCCTGTGACGCAAATGAGCAGTTTAAAATTGCTCCAAGAGCTGCCGGAGACCTTGTTAACTCAAAGAGCATTCGTGATCGTATGTCTCATCTTGGGAAACAAAAGAGTGAGGAAATTGTAGACAAACCTAAACAAGCGAAACAACTTTCAAGTGAAATTTCAGTCAAGGACAGATTATCTTTGCTTGAAAGACAAAAATCAACAGATAGTCAAATCAAAGTGACCAGTAGCTCCAAATTAAATACTCTTGCTTCCTCAGGAGATGGCTCAGCATCTACCCCTCCCACTATCAAAGATCGTCTCAGTTGTTTGGAACAAGTATCATCACAAGATAGATCGTCTAAAATTTCTTCAGAAATAACTCCAACCTCCTATCAAAGAACGTTTGTCTGAGCTGGAGGCACCCAGAGAAATTCCCAAGAAAGTTATGCCAGACAGAGATCCTTCTTTCCGAGATAAATTGGCAAACTTCCGCAGCACAGAAGTAGATTTAAACTCATCAGAAGTTTCTAAATCTGTAAATAATACTGTTGTGGATTCATCAGTCAGATTTGTAAGCCCTGATAATGAGGAATTTTACTGTAAGCGACCATTTCATAGGTCGTTAGACAGTTTGGATGTTGATTCCTCAAGTGTCGTAAGCAATGAGCCCTATGAAAGAGTTCAAAGCTTAGAAGATCTTGACAGCTGTGGACCAAGCAGAAATTATCCTGCCTCTGCTTCTTCCAATGAAAACCTAGTTCTGTCATCCCATAGTGGGGACACAGACCGTGAAGACAGTGGTATCCACACTGCAGATGTTTCGTGTTCTGTCAGTCAGGCAGATGAACCTGCAGACCTTGGTGATATTAATATGCCTTGCAGCAACATGTTTTCGGAAAATGGTGGTGCTTATGGTGCAGAAAATGAACAAAATATGGAATACGCTCCACCAACAATTGTGAGCCAGCTTGCAAAGATCAATATAACTGAGACTGTCCCTTTTGAAAATGTCTCAAACCATTCAGAAGTTGTAAGTCCAGAAAAAAATTACTCTTCACACTCACAGGTGTTGGTTGACTCAACTAATTCATATTCATCCTCAAAGTCTAGTGTTGCTTCTTCTAAAATATATTCTGGCCAGCACTCCTCTCTTCCAACAATTCATGAAGTTTCTCATGACTGCTCCCCTGTGGTGTTTGTCTCTGACACTGAATCTGAAACATATATTAGTTGTACAGAGTCTCTTTTTCCTAATACAGTCAAAACAGACTCTCTTGAAGCTGAAAATATCTTTGCGTGTACCAGTGACTCAGAAACTGAACAACTAATTTCTCAGTCTGCGGTGGTGGTGCCAGACAAAGTTGATGTGGCTGTTGTTGCTGCTTCATCTGGAGAAACTTGCATGCTTAATGATAACCCGAGTGAAGTTTTCATTTCACCTTCACATTTTGCTGCTGCGGATCAATCTTCCTTGGAACAGTGTTCAGAGGACAAGGATACTGACATGACAGATGTCTTGGTGTTGGTGGCGTCAGAGAATTCACATGGCACTGGCCATAGACCCAGCATAGAGAAGGTTAGCAAACAGCATGAAAAAATGTGATTGCCTCCCAAAATTTTTTATTCAAAATGTAATTTATGTTAATTGAGACGGAAGCAAAAACTTAAGTTAAAGTAGGTTTCTTATCTTGGAAATGAGGTCCTTTGGTCAAACATGTGACCTATCCATTATTACAAAGTCAAAGATTTCACTGTTCTTCTTAAGTGGCTCATTTGTACTTACCCATTTCTATTTCAAATTTTAATTCTAACATAATTTTTTACTTAACTTAAATTTTGAATGCATGATCTATTGCACTAACATCCTATAGGTATGTCATGGGCACCTTGCACTTGCTTGATCTAACACAATAGATACTAATTTGCAATTTAAATGTAGCATTTGAAAATGTATCTCAGATTTTCTCTCAACAGCTAATTTTGTTTGCTCTAAACTGAAAAATTCGTTTTCAGGGGTCTAAAGTGTATAGTCATGGTGTGAATTCAAGAGACTCCTTCATCGATCGAGATTTGTCCTCAGTCACATCAGGTGACACTGATGCTGATGTTAGTTCCTTTCTTGATCAAGCGTTACTTGAAGAGGACATGAAAATGTCACCACCACAAACTCAGCAACCATCTGCTGCTAAGCTTGATGTAAGTATACCATCTTTACAATGTTGGTGTTTCTATACAGCTCACTGCTAGATCTGTTTATTTTATACCTTCTTGCTGGGTTTCAGGTGCAGACCAATGAGGTCAGTGTTGTTCCCCTTCAACTCTCTTTTCCTCTGGGCACTTCTACATCTGCTGAACCTCCAAAAGAGAAGCCGCCTCCACCCCCTGTTGAACTTAGTGATGATGAGGAAAATGTTGATCATCAAAAGAACAATTCATTATGTTCCGCTCGCAATAATAATTCAAAAAGCAACCTTGGTCGCCTGGACTCTACCAAGAGGATTAAAAAGGATATGCGCCGCAAAAGGTCTGACTTCTTGGGCATAGAGGGAAGCAACGACAGCTATCTTGATTGCGGTGAGTAGCATTATGACAAGGGTCAAACAGAATCCCCTCCCATTTCATATATTTAATATTTTAATTTTTAAAAGATTAAAAGATGAAACTATGACTTTGTAATATTTTTTCTGATACATTTGAAAACCTTTGTGAATGTGTTTTGCTTGACAATCTGCTTCAATGGCCTCTGATTGTTAACAGAATTGAATGTGGCTCCCCCACCTGATATGACATCATTCTTGCAAGAAGAGCGTCGCCTAGAACAAGAACTATACCGTCAAATGCAGCCAACCCTGTATCCTGAGTCTGACCATGGTTCCAATCAGGGAGAAAGCAGGGATTCAGGTGTTGAGTTGGACAATCATTTGCATTCACACAACCCGCACACTGACTACAGTCATGAGGTTCAGTCATGCGACAATCACAGTCGTCAGAACAGTGAGGTAATTGAGGCTTCTGTCTATCACCCATCTTGTACCAGAATTTTAATTTGAAGTTCTAACAAATTTTCTCTGAACTTTGTAGACCTTTGGAAACGCAAGTTCCACTTCCGAGGAAGATGAAATAATTAAAAAGGAAAGAGAAATAATTGAAATGCTGGAGAAAGAGGAGCAATGGCGATATGGTACTAACACTATTCTGTCTCCCAGTGATCACCACCAAGTCGGTAAGTACTGGAGCCTCATCTTGCACAGTGCTTGTTTATTGTCTCAAGGTGATATGACTCTTTATTTGTTTCAAGGTGAAAAACTAGCAGCAAAATTGAGAGAATTGGAACAAGAAAAGATGCGGCTGGAGTGGGAGCGAGCTGAGGAGTCTCGTAAAGTAGCTGCAGAGCAGGCTGCTCGTCAGGAAGACCAGAGGCGAATTAGACTTAAGGAGCAGCATCTGAGACAGCAAGAGGTATAAACAATCTCTCTTTTTTTTTTCAGCCATTTTGTTCTCAGAATAGTTACACCTTTTTAAAATATTTTCTTTGTGTGGTTTTTTACTTTTAAGTAACATGTCATTTATAAGGGTGTTTTCCTTTTTTTTTTTTTTTTTTTTGTGGTCAACTTAGTTTTGATGGTTTGTGTGGGTTAGAGTAGCTACTGAGAACCATGCTATGACTGGTTTACTAAACGTGCTTCGTTTCTGATATCAATCACCTGTTCTGTGGTGGTGTTCTTTAGCTTTTGTTTATGACCTTAGAGGTCAAGTCCTGTAAATATATCTTATCCTTTAGGCCTCATTTTTAACCCTGCGCATTTTATACATATATTAATTTTTTTAAATTAATTACAACAGTATTTAGATTACTTATTCATATTTTCTAATATTGCTTGGTTCGGCATCACATGTGCTTTATGGCATATCATGTACATATGGCGTGTTCCATTATTTACAGAGTAGGCACGCTGGTGGTGCAGGTGCACCATTCGACTGCGACCCATCAGACATGACTCCGGTGAGGGTCTTTTATTACCACCAATCAATATTTTCTGCCATTCACTCCATTCTCTCTCTCCCTCACTCCTCCTGCTCCCGCCACCACCCCTCACCCCTCCTCTACCATCCCTACATTTCTCTGATCTATTTTTTTGGGCAGAGTTTTAGGTTCCTATTTTTCCTCTCAGATTCCATCTTCTGCGTGTTATTTTTGGCAGATCAGAACCTTAATTTAGACCTTCATATAGTTGTAGTTTCATGTTTTGCTACAATTTACAATATGCTTGCCTTTGCAAACTGACTTGCTGTTTGTGGCTTTATTATTACTTCTATTCTTAGAATGCTTTTATACTTATTTCTTTTCTTTTTGTGCCTCCAGTAAGATGTACATAGATCAGATAATTGTTTCTTAGTGTAATTTCTTCAAACTTCTCTTCTAAAATCTCCTTGTTTGTAATGCATGGTAACAGGAATAGTCAAGTAAAATTCTATGTCTATTTTGTTTTGTTTTTGTTTTAAGGAGGCTCTTCGTGAGGAGCAAGAGAGATTAAAACAAGAGCAAGCCGAGCTCAACAGGCAGAGAGAAATATTTGCTGCCAACCAAGTGAATAACCGCCAAAGCTGGGACTCATCATCTTCAACAGCGCACCGGTCATTGCAAGATGTTTCAGGGTCTCCTCTCATAGGAAGTCACAGCCAACTCAATGTGCCTGTCAATAATGCCCCTTTAAATTATCGGCTGTCATTACCTGACCTGCAACAATCAGATTTAGCTGTTCAGTCTATGGCTGCACATCATCATAGACCACCACCTCCTATTCCTCCTGCAAAGCCCCTCTCAGTTATCAGCCAGGAAAGACACAGTGATAATGGTCTCTCAAGGTAAGGCTGTCAGAAATTAGGCAACACACTCATGAACTTTATGTGTCACATTTTTTTAAAAGTTATTATTTATAATAATTGTTTTCAGGCAAGAGCATTTACAGTCATCAGCGGATTCATTAGCCCTCTCGTCAGAATCCCAACACAGTCGATTTAATTCTGTGGGACTACCTTCTGTGCCAATGGCAGTCTCTCCAACATCATCCACAGGAAGTCAACAGATGACTCGTCAGACACTTCATGCCTTAAGTGCTGCCCCCAGAAGTAAAATCATTGCCACTGATACTTGGGTGCAAGCCAAGAGAAAACCAGAAAGCCAACGTAATAATAATCGTGATCACTACCAACACTGGCTCATTCAGGTATAAACTATGGTCACACTTACCACCTGAGAGCTATTTTCTCATAAATGCATTGTTTTAATTTTTCTCAAATATTTACAGGAAGCTGAGCAAAGGCGCATTACAGAGCAACACCAGCGAAATGCTGTGTCTCGCAAGTCCTTGCCACCTAATGTGCCACAGACTCAACACAACCCACCCAAAGCAAACACCACAGTTCAGCCTCAAACGGCGCAAGGTTGGCAGTACCCTCATACTCACCATCAGCATACTGTTCATCAAGTCAGTATTCTTAAATTATTTTTCTTACATGTTTACTTAGCTCTCTTTCAACAAAATTTTCATTTAAATGTTCAATTTTTTTGCAGTTGCCACATCAGCATCAGCATCCTCACCAACCCCACCCTCATCCTCACATGCAACATTCCCATGTTCCAATTCAGACATCAGCACCACCTGTACCTCCGCCGCCAAGGCAAGAAAAGCCCTTACCTGATGCCATCATTCAAACACTTACTCAACGTGTGCAAAACAGAGCAAACATGAATGACACTAACCGAAGGTAAATGACAATCGTTTCAGCTCAATTCTGCTCTTATGTATAGAGAAGTTGTAGTATTTTTTACTTAAACTAAAGCATTTACTGAGAGATTTTTTTTTCTCCCTTTCCAGACTTGATAACAGCCCAGCACGTGAGAGCCGTTCAGTGAACCTAATTGCATCAAACAACATGAATAACAACAATATGAGTAATATCAATATTAGTCACAGTCACACCAATGGAAGCTATGCTGCAAACTCACAAGAGAAAATGTTGAGTGTTAGTGGTAAGAAGAAGTGTTCTCACTGCAATGAGGAGTTAGGTATGTAAATGACATGCAAATTTTTGTGTTTATTCTATGTTTATTTCAGAAAGAGCCATAATTGTTTCGTCTTATCTTTTAGGTCGAGGAGCAGCTATGATAATTGAAAGTTTACGTCTGTTTTACCACATGGACTGCTTTAAATGCTGTGTGTGCCATGTTCAACTTGGGGATGGACTCATGGGCACTGATGTCCGGGTTCGCAACCACAAGCTACATTGTCACAATTGTTATTCCAGTGATGATGGTAAGTTAGATTCCAAGTTTAGACAGAATTAATATCAATGAGAATTTACTTAATGTTATTTTGTTCTGTTTCAGGAGTAAAATTTAGCTGTGTTTAAGGTTTTTTTTTCCTCATTATGCTGTAAACAAACATCTATTAGTCAGAGTCTGCAAAGGCTCCTTCTTGTACTTAAGTAACCTGTAAATCTTTGTGATCTAGTTGCGTCGACAAGACCAAAACATAATTATGTATGTGTTTATAATGCTAAGAAGACATTGTAGGAGGTCAATCATAGCCAAGGTGACTAAAACTGAGAAGTACACGATACATGTCCTTCATGTAGTTGTAGTATGTATGTATTGTATTTAACTCTTAAATTTCTTTCTAAGAACTGTAAAAAAAATTAAAAATAATGATTAAGTGTTTAAGATTTTGCACTTTTTGTTTTGTTGAAGTGCATGTACATATTACCGGTAGGCTCAAATATTATGTAGCCACTAGCCACTTATCTGTGACTTTACCAACTCATTATTGGCATGTACTAAATTTCCTAACTGTGTTTGTAATTATTGTGAATAGGTATGTGTATAAAATGTGTAAATATATATTGTAACATATAGTTGTATTGTTAAATGTATCAAGTCAACCTACCACACGACCAACAAACCCCAGACTTGTGTTTAATATGTAGTAGAATTACATAGTTCGTATAAAAATTGCCAAAGTTGGTAAACTTGCTCCGATAACTCTTGTAAAAATTATGAATAAAATGATGGAGAAATGTGTTATGTCTGTTAAAGGTATATAGCTTTATTTATGTCTCGAAATTAACAGAAATAGAAAGTACTGGAATGACTTGCAATGTTGTTTTTTGTTTGTTACTTTCTTCCTGACTTCCTGCAAGGAGAGGAACTGTGTGTTTGTACTGTATGTATAGCTTTAAAGCCTATGACAATCTGGTTCATTTGTAATTTGATTCTGGCTGCCACGGTCCTAATGTTATTCATCAAATATGTTGTTGATTTTTTTTTTGTGAACCAGGATGATGTTTTAAGTCAAAGCCTTATTTCTTTTCTTTTCTTGCTAATCTGTAAATGTAGTAACACAGTTCCATTCGAGCAATCCATTCAAGAGGAGTTTGTTGTACGCAAGTTGTAATATGTGCTATGGGCTTATGTCATGCATACTGCTCTTTGTAGTTTTGTAACAATAAAGAGTATTCTTGGTTCATTTTAAAGTTGTTTCCCTTATTTCCTTTCTTTTTTGTCTCAAAAAATGGTCGCCTACCTCTGATTGACGTCTAGGAAGGCAAAGAGGCTGAGGACAATGTGTTACCTCCCTACACGGCACAATGCATTCCAATGCATTCCTACACTGTGCATTCTCATAGTATTCCAGTTTTTCACCAGAAAAAGATAAGCCATGGAGAAAGATAAAGGGATAGAAGTGTGAGGCATGTTACATTCAGAAAATAATGCGCAATTACAGTTCATAACAGTTTATTGGTTTCTGTATCGAATTTTATTTTCTTCTGTCTGACATGGGTGACTGGCAAATTTATTTTCACGAAGCCCCCAGTCAAGGCACTCGTTACTTAACTGTTATCGAGTTCGGGAGCAAATCATACAAAATAGAAGCAAGAGGGTGATCTTTCCACCCACATCCCAAAACAAGAAAAATGTAAAGGATTTAAAAAAACGGCAAGAACAAAATAACAAAAACAAAAAAGAAAAAACAACATGACAGCAGAATTCCTAGTGATAAATGAATTCCCTGTATCCGGCGTCAGAACCACGTCAGAAGACGCAATATTCTGTGCCAACATTTTATCAGTAGTCTAACGAAAGTAATGTCCAGAAGGAGTGTATTCTTATATACAACCATAAAAATTACTCTAGAAATGCATCAGTCGCTTGATGTAATATCACTGAAAAAAAAGAACAAGAACAGGTAGTACTTAAAATAATTCAGAACATCCACAGGAAGCTTACATTATTTTTGATTCAGGTTCTGGATTGGTTACATTAAAAAGTAACCCACAATATACATGTTTCCCATGATTATGCACTCTGTCTTCAATGATAATAAAAGTGATAATAATAGTAATATAATAATTATAGTAATAATAATCATAGTAATAATAATGACTAGTGAATTTACTAGTTCACCATCTCTTCACATTATTTGCTGCACTTTCACACCAATGGTTACACTTCGAGAATTGAGTGCGGTTGGTGCTTTAATGTTGATGAGAGCTATCACAATTTAATTTCTTACTTTAGTCACAGTTTTTGCTGTCGGTCCTTCACACTTGCCACATAAGGAGATGATTGGTGGAATCTTCCTTGCCTGCGACCTCAGACACACTGGACGTTCGGAAGTCTTCGTAGCCATCTCCCCCCGAGATGACGAGGAGCTTGTTGGTGTTGCCAGGGCCTGCCTGGTCACCCTTGTGTTTCCACGAGTGTCTGTTGTGATGGGGCTGCGGCAGTGCAGCCGAACTGGTTCCAGTCGCACTGGCCTCGACAACGGTCAGGAAGCGGACATGGCCCGTGTGCCCATGTGGGACTCCTGCGAAAAGTGGCAGAGCAAAAAGCAAAACCAATTATCACGCATGTTAGACTAGGCACCGAGGGCCAACATCCGGCGAAGCATTTCAAACCAGCTACCTGAGACGTTTGGTGTTGACGTTAGCCTTGAGGTTCCTGGAGCGACATGAGGCAGAGGCATTGTCAGAATGACCCCAGCACTGGTGCCAATCCATAGCAAATCTTTGCACGCCAAAAGGGACGTGACGCGAAGGCATGCAGCTTTGTGTTGTCGGATTATGTCGTCACAACCTGAAAGCAAAGGAAAGATTGGTGGCTCGTTGAGCTTATGCTCCGGTATTCCATGACCCGACAGTAGAAGCCACCAGATACATACTTGCAAGCATTTTGGTCACAGCTGGCGCCACATTAACTTCCCCGAGGTGTTCAAATGTAGAGGCGTGATAGAGCTTTAATACTGCTGAGTTTTGTACTGAAAGCCAGACTGCCAACCCGGATACCACAAACGAGGTCACGGACCTGTTGCTGTCCGCAGCGACGACAGTTTGCTGTTGAACGACGACATGACGATGAGGCAAAAGTCAGCTGCATTAAGGTAAGTCGGAAAAGGGAACAAGTCCTCACCTCGACCTGCAGCGTGTTCGTGTTGAGCACTTTGATGGTGTGCTGGCAGCTGCACCACAAGCGACCCGCGATGGGCACCATGCGCGTGACGGGGCACGCCGCCGAGCCCACGGCCACCGTGTAGGGGTCGGAGGTGTTCCATCCGCCGGCTGCCGGCAAACATTAAAACAACCATTATGTCGAATCGGCGTCGGAGGTTTGGTCCCAGAGCTCGACAAACTGACGGACGATCCAAGAAAAATCAATGTTACCTTGGTCTCTACTGTAGACCGTGATGTCACCGTTGGCCAGGGACACGAAGACTCTGTTGTCAAAGTACCTGAGGACAGCCAAACAGGCGGACACTGTTAAAACTTTCTCCATAATCTCTTTGACCACAGCGGCGGGTGGGCGATAGTAGTGATAAAGCCCCTCGGCGTCGGCACCGGGACTGGCGGCAGTACTCACATGATGCAGTGCACCGCGGCGCCGTGCTGGATCTTGACCTTGTTCCTCTTGATGCGGATGTTGTCGTTGCAGCTGTACACGTGGATGCAGCCGTCCTCCGTGCCCAGCCACATGGTGGGCTGCGCGAGCCCGTCGTCCGCCGTGCCGGGGGTGGGGTTGGGGGCGGGGGCGGCTCCAGACGAGGCCGCCGTTCCCGCGGCGCCTACAGAGCCGCCCCCTGGAGCCGCGCCCGCCGCGCCCGCCGCGGCCGAGGCCGTCCCCGCGGCAGGGGCATGGGTGGGCTCGGCGTTGCCGTTGCTAGGGGCGACGCCGGCGCCGCTGGGCCCGCTGGCCCCGCTGGGCACTGGGGGCGCGCTCGCCTGCGAGTCCGCCGTGTTGGAGCGCAGCCTCTCCTCCGGCGCCGAGCCCGAGTCGTTGTCGTCCTCGAACTCGTCGGACGAACTGCTGCTGCAGAAACAACAGCCTTCATTACGCGCTAGCGACGACCCTCGCAAGGGGGGCGGTCCGGACCCAGTTCAGGGAAGTTGGAGAACAAGGGTAATCACGACCGGAAACAACCGCCTTCTCCGGCACTGTCCAAAACTTCCGGCACACATTTTCTCCAAGACACCGTAAGATGGAAAATAGAGACAGTTCTTAGACGCCTTTTGTAGTCACATCAAAGCGTCCATTCAAGCCAAAGTACCTGTCCAGGTGGAGGTTCCGCCCCGCCTTGTCCGTGTCCTCCACGGATATGCTGATGCCGGCCTTGCTGTTGGTCACCTGCTGGCTCTGGCTCAAGTTGGGGCTGGAGTTGGACGGCCTGGATTCAGAGCACGACGGTTGCAATCACACCGGACAGTGGGCATTTCGTTTTTCAAAAAGTAAAAGGCAAGGGGCTGAGGGACTGACCCGGGGGCTGGAGGTGTGGCCGGGATGGCGGCGACGCAGAGGATGCGCGCGTTGCAGACGCCGTTGCAGGAGGTGACATTGGGCTCCGGCACCAGGGACAGCACGCACACTTGGCCGACGTAGCCGTCCGAGTTGCACACCCACACGTCCCTCATGCCGGAGGCGGCCCCCGCCACCCCCGCCGCCGCCGGCGCGGCCCCCGCGCACCCGGGACCAGCCAGGGTGGGGGCGGCGCAGGTGAACTGCAGGCCGGCGCGGGTCTTGCGGATCGGCACCGACGTCTTGAACTTCGGCGACGGCCGCCGGTCCGCCGACAGCGCTGCGGCCAAAAAAAGAGGAAGTAAGTTGGTGGATTCGAACCCGCGGCCGGCTGGCTGTGGCTGAAGCACGCTTACCCAGTCGTGTTTTAGCCTCGTTGAAGGTCTCCTCCCAACTGGCTCTTTTATCAGGCTTGGTGAATATCACAGTTATGTTTTCGACACCATTTCTGCAAAACGAACGTAAAAGTCGGAGATCAAGAGGTGCGCATTATGAAACGTCGCCGAGTGAAGCGTCGATTTAGGGTTCGTGCAGTACAGTGCGAGGCACAAGCATGAAAACTGTTTCCCTTCCAACACTCACGAGGTGTTGACGGTGAGGTCGAGGCAGGACAGCTGGCTGTCCGAGTTCTGCCGCTCGGCCAATTGTCGGCAGGCCGCGCTCAGCAGGTCGCGCGCCAGCTCCTCCAGCTGCTGCTGCTGCTGTTGTTGCTGTTGCTGCAGCTGTTGTTGTTGTTGCTGCTGCGACTGGGGCTGCGGCAGGTGCAGGGACGACGCCAGCTCCGTGATTTGCGTGAGCGCGGCCACGTCTTCGGACAGCTGCTCCATCTCCCTCATCGCGCGACGCAGACTCTCGTCTTTGGCTGGAACAGAGAGGGCGAGAGAGAGATCCAAGCTGCAGGCTTCTCGAAGTCGGAAGGGAGGAGAATGAAACTTGAGGCCCAGCCTTCGTGCCTCACCTTTGACAATCTCCAGATCGTCTAGGACTGCCTTCATGCTGCAGCGGTACCGGTTTCCCTCCAGCCCACTGGCAACACTCGTGCTGGACCCCGCACTGGAAGAAAATGCCAACAGAGGAATTATACGCAGAACCACTTTACGGTCAGACGGTCCAGTAACGCGTCCTGGGACTCGAACCGAACGTGTGACCCCACGAATGGATTGCTCTCCGAACGAGGAATCCATTAGTGGGGTCACTCGCTCGGTTCGAGTCCTGTTTAGCGACTCTGGCCAGAATTTCGGCCGTCTCCGCCGGTCTTCTGGCCCACTGTGCGTAAGGGAAAGGCGTTGCTGTGAATACTGACGCGGAGGGCTTCCGGATGTTCCTCTTGGTGCGCGCGATGACCACCAGGTCGGAGAAGAGGAAGAGGACGCGCTCCTTGCGGGTGCCGCCGCCCTGGCCGGTGTTGGACGCCAGGGTCACCATGTCGTGCCGCAGGAACACGCGGCCCTGGGACACCTGGAACAGAGCGTTAGCATTTGCACTCGGCCTCTCTCGCACCTACGCGGGACGCCCTGTGAGTGCGAGAGAGACAGCGGCCCACAAGCGCCCGGACAGCCCGTAATGGTAATGGTAATGGACGGTGGTCCGGGCGTGTGTAGCGGGCTGGCCTACCCTCGACTCGGCGGGCGCTCTGGAGACCAGCCCGCCGGGCGATTCGTCGCTCTGTCTCTCTCGAACCCCATGCACTGTGAGAAAAAGGTACGGAAAAAGTACGGAACATGTCTGGTCAATAATTTGCCTGGACCGTCCGTACTTGCCAACTACGGAACGTTCCGTACTTTTCTTCCGTACCCATTTACATGGGTTCATATGGAACAAGTACGGAACGTTCCGTACTTTTCTCCGTACCTCCTAACTATATTTTTCTGTACCATTTCCATACAAAAGTACGGAATTTTTGACAGTGTGAGTGCGACAGAGACGGAGACCCACCAGTTCGCAGCCGTCCACGAGCGCCTCCAGGTCGCGCAGCGTCTGCTGCTGCTGCTCGGCCTCCAGACTCTCCCTCTCGGTGCAGTTGATCTTGACGGCCAGCTCGTGGATCTCGCGCTGCGCGTCCAGCAGCAGGCTGTGGTCCGTGTGCGAGGGGTCCGTGTGCTTCAGCAGCCTCTGCGAACACAAGTCTACACTCAGCGAACAGGCCTCACTGTTTTTGTACCAAGTACTTCGAGCGCACCTCGAAATTTACAATGCAAATACACGGAAAGGAAGAACATAATGAGTACGTGTCACTCACCCCGATGAGAAGCTCGTATCTGGGGATCCTCTGTACCGGCTTGATGAGCAGTGAGTCCAGGGCCAGTCTGCCCTTGTGCTCTCTCGCCATCGCCTGCAACCACCATCACGGTCAACCACACACCTCCTTCGACAGGTAGAAAGATGGACACCCGCTCAAAATGCGATTCATTTTGCAAAGTTGGGGTGATCCGCACTCTGCGGCGCGGCGTGGCGTGGCGAGGACGGCGCCCAGAGGGGCAGCGCGCTGCGCGGTGCGACGGCTGGCTAGCTCGGTGAATCAGCTGGGCGCTGCGTTTATTTTGGACCCAGGAAAGGGAATCCCACGATCCTGCCGGCATGTGGCAGATGTGTCCTCCCCCACCCCCACCCCCACCACTCCTTCGCGGGGGTCGGCCTGTTGGGCCTGTTCGGCCTGGCCGGCTCGGCTCCCCCTTGAACGGACAGACACCGCCACAAAGCGGACTGCGCCAACCCGCCCCACGCCGAGCACCGCCAGGCGCACAAACGCCAACGAAAAAACGAGGCGGAGAGAGAAAAAAAAGGAACAGAAAAAGGTAAGTTTGACGACGCGTACCTCGAGGTATCTGGCAAAGGCGGGCTTGGCCTGGCAGGTGCTCTTGATGGCTTCCTTGGCCGTCTTCCAGTTATTGATGAAGGCGGTGTAGGTGTCGATGACGGAACGCTTCGTGAACTGCAGCAGAGAGATGGTGGTCAACGACTGTCTCTCTCTCTCTCTCTCCCCATCTCTCACTCACTCACTCACTGCAACCCTTACCGCGTTCAGGAGCACGTCCCCGACTTTCTGCTGGAAGTCCCAATTCTCGAGCCTCTGCTGAAGGTCCTCCAGGAACTCCCGGTGGTGGCACAGGATGGCAGGAACCTGGCACAAAACAGCGCCGACATTTTAGCGGCCGAAACTAGTTTCCATTCAATTTAAAACTATTGCGTGGGTATTTTGTAGTTTTTGGCTTTCGTACCTGGTAGAATATTTGCTCGACGAGCTCCGAGTCAACCATGCCCGCATTCTCCGACCGTTTGAGGGGCTGCATGTACTCCTGCAAACACGCCAGAATCGTGGCGAATCAGCAAACCGGAAGAAACCCCACAACTTCCGGCACACGGCTGTGTTCATACGCCACTTTTGGCGTTCCCGTTTGCCTCAGAGGCCTGCCTGAGAGGTTGGCCCTCCGCGCGGCCTCGCTGTCCATTAATTCAACGAGACTGTAATTATTGATAATTCACAAGGAGAGCCGGGCCCTCGATTTAATGAGACTGTAAGAATCTGCAAGGGCGCCGCTGTTCATTTATAGAGGCAGAGTTCGAGTTCGTCTTAACTACACAGTATGTTTCAAAAATTTACCAGGCCACGGCTGTGTCAAATCAACGGGACTGTACCGCGGCAATCATTAAGAATCTTCGAGACCGCGGCCGTCGATCTAACGAGACTGCAATCATGGGGAATGTACAAGGTCGCGACGTCAAAACGGGCGGGCATTTGGCCGCGGGCCACCCTATCTTTACGGATGGCTGAGAATTTGTCGGAGGTGCTGGGGGGGGGGGTGGAGGGGAGGGTGGGGGGGGGAGGGTGGAGGGGAGGGTGGGAGGGGAGGGTGGAAGGGGGGTGGAGGGTGGGGATGGGGAGGTGGAAGTGGAGGGTGGGAGGGGAGGGTGGAGGGGGAGGGTGAGGGGGAGGGGAGGGTGGGAGGGAAAGGGTAGGAGTAAGGGGTCCAGGCCAACCTAATGGCGGCGCTGTGCAGCCACCGAGAAGGATTGCAGGGGATTGCAACTGGTCGTTTCCGCGTCTCATCAAATTACGCCCAAGGCCGCCCGGCTTAGCGCGCTGTTGCGCCGTTCCGCTGTTCCGCCGAAATAGCGCCTCACCTTGACCAAGAAGTCCAACGACTCGACGTAGGACCGCTCCGTCTCGTACAGCTCCACCACCACATGCGTCCGCGTGTCCTGCGGGGAAAAACAAAACAAAAACAGAACGTTATCACCGGGACGTAAACACGACGCCAACGACAACAAGCAGAGCGTTATGGCCTCTGGACCTTTGAAACGGTTTCCGAACACCAGCAAACACCGCGCACGGGGCAGCGGGGCAGCGGAGCGCCGCTGAAACGTGTCGGCGCAGCGGGGCGTTGTGCCCCCCCCCCCCGTCCGCGCTACCCGCTCTTTTGCCGTCCGCTTTAAATTGAAGCCTTCACCTAAATGAGGTTAGTCAGCCTATCCCGGCGCGTTATTACATTAGGGTTGGATCTGTTCGCCGCGCCGGCGCGCCACGGCTAGCCACGGCACCCCGCAGCGCCCTGCCGCGTCCGCGCGTCCGCGCCCCTCGGGGGACGAACCGCCCTGCGCAGCACACCCCGCGCCGCCGCCCTGCGTGCGTGGTACACTAGAACACACAGCCCTGCATGGTACAGCCCCGCGTACGCGCTGGCTGCACCGGCCTGTAATCTCCCCTCCCCCTCCCCCCCCCCCACCACCTCGCCGCTTGTTGCAACCGCGGCAGCGCGTCCGCCGCAAATGAAGGCTCCACGCCCCGAATCTCTCATATTGCGCGGGGGGGGAGGGGGGGGGGGCTCGTCGTGGACGTCCCGTCCGCCTTGTCCAACTTTATTCATTCCAAGTTGGCGACTTCGCCGATCGCTACAGTGGCGGCGAGACGCGGCCGCACTGGGGGAGACTGGCCAAATACCAGAATAGGAATCGCCCTGGGGAAGACGAGCGGAATGCACGCCGCGGGGGGCGCGATCACGGCCCGCCCGCCCTGCCGCGGCCAGACAGCCAGCCAGCAGCCAGCCAGCCAGCCAGCAGCAGCAGCAGCCAGCCAGCAGCCAGCCCTCCAGCACGGTCAGCTCGCGGGTACGAGTAGGGAAACTGCTCCAAGACGACCGCCAACCACCGACCGTCCGCTCGTCCAACAGCATCCCCGGCGTGCCGCAGCATTCCTCGCCCCACTACAACGGCGTCCGTGACCACGGCCACCGCGTCGCCACCCGCCGGGCATCGCTGCTCGACGGGATAAACGACTCGCTATTTTAACGTTCCAGTGTTCCGGCGTAAAAATAAACCGCAGCGGGCCGCCACGCGCCGCCGGCCTTCGCGTGTAGCGGCTCGGCAAATTGTCAACATTGTTAAGGGCGTTCTTTCCACACCCCTTGACCGGACAAACAGACGATGCAAACAACACACACACACACACACACACACACACACACACACACACACACGCCCACGCACGGAATTTTTCTTAGGGGGCTCCCTTGCCCCGCGGCTGGGCGGCGGGCCCCTGTCCCGCGCTGGGAAAGGCTGCCTGCAGGGGCGAGGCGAGGTGAGGCAGCCCAGTGTGGTAACATGAGGCCACCCCACTGTAATGAAGCACTTTCGGGACGAAGAAAGAATGGCCATGGCAGGCAGGCGGGCAGGCAGGCAGGGCAGGTAGTGGCCAGGCAATGAGTGGGCGCCGAGGCGAGTTGCCCCATTTTCCGGCATTTCCCCCGGGACGGGTTGGTTTCTCTCAGACGGGCCGCGCTAGTAGGTCAGCGGCATAGCTGCAGCGACCCGCCGTGCACTGTAAAAGAGCAGTGCCGGGGAAACGGGCAAAATGGTTTCGCACGGACGGAAAAGTGTTGGGACGGTTAACTTTGGTGGGTTGATCGTTCGGCTGACAGCACAACCAATGTCGAAATCGAGGAAAGGGGGCGAAAATGCTGACGCAACTTTTTCCCTCTCAGCAGTGTGCCCCCACCCCACTGGCGAGGGACAAGACTGAGGTTCTGTGGACCCACCTCATTTCACACCGACATCCCCAAAGCACCGCCATCCGTACTCCGCTCGAGGGGGAGGCGGTCCTAGCGGTCCTAGCGGCCCGAGAGTCGAGTCGCCGCTCTCGCGGACTTTGTCAAGTCACGCCTCGGCCAAGGCAAGGGAAAGGGACCCAGGGACCGAACCGGCGGCCGGAGTGACTGCACGGCAAGCAGCTTGCCAAGCCGAGGCCTGGACCCTCAGAGGGAAGCCGGTGTGCAAGGGTGGGAACCAATCAGCGTGACGCAGCTCTGTCTCTGTCGCACTCGTGGGCCGTCCCGCTGCGGTGCGAGAGAGACCGAGCGAGGAAACGATGTAATGGCTCGGTCGGTGCGGCGGTTGGGGCGGCGTGATTCGGTGCCAATTTGCCTTGTTTGCCCTGCAATTGCGCGAAACCCTCCGCTTCCCCCCCTCGGGTGAACGTGCTGCGTGGTGGTTCAGTTCGCTGGCCGGGCCGAATTCGTCGCACGACGCCTTTCCGATATTACTTCTCCTCGCCGGCGGCGGGCTCATTTAGAAGAGTCTTTCCGTCGCGCTGTCTCTCTCGCACCCCTGGGGACAGCGCGACGGACGGAGTCTTCGCAGTGGCTCGGCAGGCAGGCCCAGTCGGCAAACAGTGCGGCGAGGCGCGCCTGAGGCATTGCGTGGCTTGTCGCTCTGTCTCTCTCGCACCTCCACGGAACGGGACAGAGAGCAACGGAGTGCAGGCGGTGCCTTGCGATGCGCGCCACAACTCACTTTCGGGAATTTCATTCTGATAGAGAGCAGAGTGCACTTCGGCCATGCACTACTGGCGGCTGCGCGTTCTGGAGTGATGCGCTTGGGGCACGCGGACACTGTTCGAATAGCTCTGTCCTCGTCATCCCCCACGTCCGTCAACGAGAGGGAGGAAGACGCGACATCGCATGGTGCAGGGCCCTGGAGCGCCCTGGAGCGACAGGCCGCATTCCAGGACCCTGGAGCTGCAATATGAGAACACAGTCACCCAAAAAAATGCGACCTTTTTGCTACGACTTTTCTAAGGAGAGGCATGTTTAAATGGGAAAAGGCACGGAAAGTGAAGTGAAAGACTCGCTGACTACGGCTACTACTTCGCTACAGTGTGCTGCTCCTCACCGGCTGGCTGGGCTCCGCGTCGTCGTGGTGGTGGTGCGTGCTCCGGGTGAGGGTCGACGAGGACCGCGAGCTCAGCGTGGGCTCGCTCAGCCTCAGCCCCAGCCGCAGCCCGTCGCGCCCGGCGCCCCCGAGGGGCACCGAGGGCCCCGGCGAGGGCCCCGGGGGCGCGGCGGCCGGAGTGCCCCCGGAGCCGTGGACGCCGTGGGGCGGCGCGCAGTCCGGCGGGCCCTCCGAGCTCTCCCCCGACATCCTGATCCCTGGGCCCGGCTGGCGCGGCTTGCGGGGCTCGCGAGGCTCGCTCGGCTCGGCGCTCACAGCCCCATCCTGCGCGGGGCGGCCGGAACGGAACACACGGTGAAAACCACGGCAGGGAGGCCGCGGCGCGGCGCGGACGGGTCCCCGGGCCCGCCCCCCCGCCCCCCCCGCCCCGCAGCTGGCATTTCGGAGGGGGGGAAAGGGGTGGGGCTAACTCGTAGAGAAGAGGGTCTAACTCGGAGAAAAAGGGGGAGGAATGCATAAAGAAACGTCCTGGACTCTCACGGTGGATCAATGCTTGCCAAAGCGTGTGCTTCGCCTTTGTGAATATTGATCAAGGAGTGGGCCAAGTTGTACGACGGCGGGAGAGGAAATGTGGATGCAAAGCTGTACTTGCCATCCATGAATGGACCGACGATTGTGTTATACGTAAAACTTCGATAGTAAAAGTCTACATTCTTTATTTTTTTAACACCACCACAGCGGAAAGATGTCAAAAGCTATTTCTCCCTCGGAGCCCGTTAACGGGGTGTGATTTGCCTGTACACCGACACGTGTCCAGGGGGACGCACTGGGACAGTTCATTACATTCAAAGCCACGTCCAGAGCGCGCGCGACCCGACAACTTGACAGGACTCTCATTTGACAGAGAGGAAGGGGGGGGGAGAGAGAGACCGCGCTGATGGAATTGCAGTGCCAGCAGGCAGGCCGACACACTGGCAGACAGGCGGGCCGGGCTCACAGGTATAACAACAGTGCCTCGGCCGGCGAGCCGGCGACGCCACGACGCGTCTTCCAGAGTCGAGTCCGGAACGCCTGCGGTGCTCGGGGTAGGCAGCCCGGCCATCACGCGTGGAGTCGCGCTGCCTGCCGGCCAGGGGCTCTGGCTTGGCCAGGCGGGGCGGGGCGCGAAGGGCTCCCTCTCTCTCCCACAGCAGTCTCGGATGGTTATTTTGTTGCGAGCGATGGACATAATTTTTCCCACGAGTGAGTGAGTGTGTGTGTGTGTGTGTGTGTGAGGGAGAGAGAGAGAGAGAGAGAGAGAGAGAGAGAGAGAGAGAACGTTGTTATTAAGAGGCGCCATCGAAGGGGATAAAAGGGTCGAACGGGGCGTAGGGTGGGGCGGGGTGGGGCTGGGCTGGGTGTGGTGGCCGTCGCCGTGTGGTAGCTTAATGGGCTGAAGCGTGGCTCTTTAATTCGGTCGGCGTTCCAGGGCGTTCCGCAGCCTTTCGAACCCAATTAATTGCGATTCAGTCATTATGGCGCGAGTTCCATTCGCCCGGTGTCACTGCGTCATTTGTTTGGCTTGAGCCAACGCACCGTCGGCACCGTCCGCCCAACGAGGTAATTGGTGGACCTCCGCAGGGCCAGGTTGCCCTTTCGTTTTTCTTTCGTTTTCTTTCCTTAACAGAAGTCTGTATTTGCTTTGGTCCCTTGTGCACACGGCTCACTGTGTGCGGCTGTGTGGTGTATGCGGTGCCACTTGCTCTGATCGGGGCAACAAACATAAGGAAGAAGCGCAGCGAAAACAGAAAAAAAGAAAAAGGAGACTGACGGAAAAAATAATGTAAATGAAAAACGTGTGACAGCGACCCAGGCGGGGTCGCTTCCTGAGTCCCGGAGCTGGGCCAGGCTGGGCCCTTCGCTTCCGGTGCGTCAGCGGGCCTTGATCCAGCCGTGGAGGCACGCCAAGGGGCCGTAGGGTAAACAGAGTGTCCAACTGCCGGCGAAAACGCCAAAGTTGCCATTCTGGGCCCCGATAATCATTTCGCGAAAACAAACTTCACCACCGAATCTTTTGGCAGGGGGGAGAGGGAAAGGGACGAAGGCTGAGAAAATGGGACCTCCCCCCAGAGCCACATTTCTCCAGGAAGGCAGCATCCGCGGAAGTGCGCTTCGCCCTATAAATGAGCCTCCCTCAGCATTCGATCGATCATCTCTGTCCGTCTGCCTGCCCTTCGGTGTCCGCCCGTCCTCCCTTTCGACCTCTTATATGGTCTCGGCGTGCCCGGCCATGCCCCGGCCTTCCAACGACCGAATGGCCTTCCAGATGGATGGCTGGAGCGCGTCGCGAAAAACAAAGCCCCTCCCTAAAGATAAAATAAAGTGAAAAGACTCGTGATTACCGCGCGCCTCACCGGCACACGACAGATTGCTGCAAAATGAGATAATAATAGCGGCTCAATTTTGCCTCCAGCGCGAGCTCCCTGCCTGGCTGCCTGGCGCCGGAAATCTCATCAAATCCGCTTCACAAACCATTAGTCCACTGACAATCTAATATTCGGCTAGAAAGTTGATGCTTCCCCTCCACGCCCGTCCCTCCCGGTACCCCTCCCCACCACCCCCTCCCCGCACTCGTAATCTACAGGTGGACCCCTGCCCGAGCGGCGGGTGGCGCCTAGAGGGCCATGCTTGCGTGGAACGGGGAAGTTCCAAGGTTGACCGCTTCCGAGAGGCTCGATGCGCCGCGACGGTGAGTTAACGTGACCAAAGCAAACCAACTCCCCTGCCCCCTTCTCACAGACACAGACTGACACACCGGAGTCGTTCCCCAAAATCTCCTCGGCAACTTCCGGCCCCGACGAGCCGGTCTGGGTGCGACAGGCAGGGCTGGCGACGGGCCGAGCCACCAGTGGCGAAGCGGAAAAAGGGGTGAGTCGAGTGAGAGCCCCGTCATAGTGTCGGAAACGTGAAAGCCAAGGGGTCAAGTTGAATTATCCCCTTCTTTCACGGTGCCGCTGCAGGTACGATACGCCTGAAACTGGTTTCTAGCGATGCCACGGCGCTCAAATTTAACAGGCCAAGGAAAGGCCAGGAGAGTTCTGTTTCAGTCGTCGGTTAAAGAGGGCGCTTTGAAGAACGTGCGACAATTGGCTATCCAAAATGGCGACTGCAACAAAGGGGTGTTCTTACTACTGAGGGTGAAACCAAACCAAACGAAACGAAACGAGATAGCCTTGCTGAACACTTTTTTTCTGTATCCCGGACCCTGACGTCACGAGCATGTCCCTGCGTCTGCAGAGGTGTGTCTCGGTGGCCTCGGCATGGAGGCAGGCCGCCGCAGGCCTAGACAATGCCGCGCTCGGCACCCCAACCACACAGACCGACCCACAGGCAGACAGACAGACAGGCAGGCAGACGGACGGACTGGCAGGCCTACCAAAGGAGACTGCCAGGGACAGGCCATGTAGCCGGTCCCCCTCATCAGCCCCTTTCATCAGGAAGCGGAAAAGGACCAGGGTTACAGTGCAGGGCGGGCGGGTTTGCCTATCTACGCCTCACACACACACACACACACACACACACACACACACACACACACACACACACACACAGACGCTGCTCCTTGCAATGCGGCATTGGGCTGCTGGCCGGACGGCCGGACGGAACTTTTGAACTTTTTAACGAGCAGCAGCGCCTCTTGCCCGACGACGCGACGCCGCTAAAAATACGCGGGACTTGCGCGGTACCGGCCCGAGGCGCGCGGCAGTGCTGCACGCTGGCGCGCAACCACCCGCTCGTTCCGCTGGAGCACTGTGCCACTGCCAACCAACGTGACGTCACCATCGTTAGAACGCGCCAATCGCGTCACGTTCGTTCGACGCTACATCACACATCCGTTTGAACGTGGATCCACGTTCGACCGGAAGTGACCCGCGCTAATTTGACGGGCACGTCGGCGAGCGTGACGGACGTGCCGCGACTATTCGTCGAGGAAACAGTGTACAGCGCGCGGCGCGGCCGAGACCAAGACCATATGGAGGCGGTCCGCAGCTCGGCGGAAGATCTCGGTGCGGGTCAGCGGGCAGAGGCCTCCAAATCCAAACAGCGCTCGGTCTCTCTCTGCGGCCTGGGGGACGCCCCGCGAGTGCGAGCGGGACAGAGCGCGCTGTGCTGGCGCGCTGGCGCGCCTTGTGGAGCGTGCGGGGCGCGGGCAGGGCACCGTGCGCCGGGCCGCCCGGCCAGGGCGACCTTCTGTTACAATGAGTACAACCTAAACAGGGAGAACACAAAAATAGCGCGCAGGGGCGGCGCGGCGCGGCCGGGGAGGGGGTATTGGCTTGGGGCGCTGCGGGGGGGGGGGGGGCTGGACCACGCGCCGACGCCTTAACCTACACACCGCCAACGCGGCCAACGCGGCCAACGCACAGGTACACACGCCCCGCCAGGGCCGAGGCGGCGCTGCGGCGTGACGGCGTTCCCTCGCTGCCGCGTGTCGTGTGGACGTCGGTCCGCCTCGGCGCTCGGTTCGGCTCCGCGTGCGCCACGCCGATCGGTGCGCGTCTGGGGCGTGTGGCCGACCCCGGGGCCTGCGTGCTACTGACTGAGGCTCGACGCCCCGCGCGCCGCCGCGCCGCCGCGCTCCACCACGCCACTGCGAGGCCTTGGCTGCCTGGGCTGCCTTGGCGGACCCCTATCAGGGAGGGGGTGGCGCTGGAGGGGCGGCGGGGAGGGGAGGGCAGTCTCATCAAGCACCTGGCTTAGCGCGCCGGCACTGCCGAGGCACTGCCGAGGCATTGCCACCCTTACGGCCTTACCCGAATGCCGAGTCGCACCCTTGGCGGGAATGCCCGGGGCCTTTCCGCGATTCGAGTCGGGCCTTCGCGACGCCAATCACTCCGATCGCGCCATCGGCCGGGGACGGGACGGGAAGGTCGATAACCGGCTCGAACCGGATCCACGTGTTGCTGGCCGACGGACACGGCGCGGACAGGCCGCGGACGCGCTGCAGGCGATCACACTTGTTGCAGTGCACGCCGTGCACGGTGCACCGCCGCCTGGCAAGCCTGGCAGGGGTTCAAAGGAAAACAAAAACAAACAGACCGTCATCGGCAGCGCCTCCGCCCTTCGAGGCCGTCGGGGCCTTCGGGCCCTTCAGGTCACGGCCTCGACCTACGCCTTCAGCACGTCACCGAGGCCCTGCCCGAGGCCCTGCCCGAGGCCCTGCCCCAGGCCCCGCCACCCAGCAGGACGACGCAGCACCCCCGTGACGTGACACGACTCCCGGAGGTCCTCTCCGTCTGCATCTCGAGGAAACGCGGAGTCATTCCGGCGTTACACTGTTACCGCGGCCAACCCGAGGGCCAGCTCCCCTATACATTTCAGTTATGCCCCTCCCCCTTCCCGCCGTTCCACGAGAGATACGCCTCCCCCTCCCCCTCCCCACCCCAACCTGGAGTTTCGTAAAGTTGAGAACTTGAAGCCGCAAAATGGGATGGCGTGGCCGCGCCTTGGCTTCGCCCTGGCTACGCCGCTGCCTCTCAGGGGTGGCTCCGAGACCGGCGCCCCCTGGCCGCGCCGCTGGCGGTGCCGGCCGTGCCTCTGGCCTACTTCTCCCGCAAAAGGCCCGCGCGTGGCCGCGTGGCCGTGGCTGCACAAATAAACACGGGTGGAGCAGGCGGGGAGGTGCACGCCCCAGATCTAGCGGAGTAACTCCCTGGCTAGGCTAGGCCAGCCTAGCGCAGCCCGACCTAAATTAACCCACAGTGCAGGAGCGCCGCGTGGGAGGGGCCGGCCGTGCAACACGTTGCAGGTGGGCCGCGGGGGAGGGGGCGGGGGAGGAGAATGCACCAGTCGGCGCCGTTCCAAGTCCCAGGAGTTTTCCCCGACTGGACCCCAACGTTCCCCGGCCGCGCCTTCGCGCCGCCAGGCTGGACGGGGTGAGCTGGCGCGGCCAGGGAGCGGTGCGGCGCGACGCGGCAGGGATTCGCATAAAATTTGCATACAAATGGCACCGGAGTGACGGCCGTCAATAGGGACCCACCGGCAGGCCCGGTGCCCGGCGCCCGCTCGGACCCGCCCCCTTGTTACCGCAAAGTCCCTCCGGCGCCCGAGGGCCCCAGGGCGGCCCCAGGCCCGGACCCAGGGCGCTTCAAACTGCTGGCCTTGCCGAATCAGAACGTGAATCAGGACCAAGCGGGCCTCCTGCAGGTTGTCATTCACATTGGCGTGATTTCATTTGGCCGCCGATTGGGATCGGGGTTGGACCGATCACGGCGTGGACGGCGACGACCTCATCAAGCTCAGTCACTCACACTGTAAGACGCGCGAGAAAGCTTTTTTTCGAAGAGGCCGAAGACTTCACTGGCTCGGAGTGTTCCGTGAACTTATTCGGCGACCAGCGGTCTCGCGAAAGGAAAACCAACGCCCTTGCAGCACCGCAAACGTCCGGCCCTCGACAGGTGTTTACGCGACCGAGTTTCCGCCTTACCTCTCAAAAAGGTTCGCACAAATATGACACTCCCATTTTCCAACGAGTGGTGTTCCCGTTCGCTCTCAGCACAGAGCCCAGCGGAGCCGTGCCCCGAGCAGCTCAGGCCGCAGCAGTGGTCAAGATTGTTTGCCTCTGGTTTGTTTACACGCAGCGGACAGGCTCGCCTTCCTCCTTGCCGGCCGGGTAGACAGCCCGCCACACAGTCGGCCGGCCGGGGCGGGTCGGTTGACAACCCGTGAGTTACCGGGCAACCTTGTGAGCGACCTTAAGAAATGGGTCGAACGACCTTTAAGGGGAGGGTCGGATCACCTTTAAGGGGTGGGTCGGATCACCTTTAAGGGGTGCGTCGGATCACCTTAAAAGGGTAGGTCGGATCACCTTTAAGTGGTGGGTTGGATCACCTTTAAGGGGTGGGTCGGACAAGCTGTAAGGTGTGGGTCCGATCACCTTAAAGGGATGGGTCGGGTCACCCCGCATTCGCCACTGGGCTATCCAGCGGGGGTTGGGAAACTGCCTCTCGCAGTTTCGTAAACAGTCCCTTTGCCGCCCCGTCCGTCCGAGCGCGGATCATTCGTCCCACTCACCGCCCTCTATTTTGGCCGTCGTTGTCCACTCCACTGCCAAGGCCCCGGGCCTGCCCCAGCCGGCGTGGGCGGGCACAGAACAACAGAAGCACCTCGGGGCTGGACCGCGCCGCGACACGACCATAGGCCTCCGAGTCAAGTTCGTCGCTCTGCCTCTCTCGCACCTACATTGGTTGCCCTGTGAGTCACACGGCGTGTGTCGCAGCTCGAGTTGCATCCCTCCTCCAGCCAGGTCTACACTTTTCCCTTTTCACACTCCACCAGAACCCCCAGCCCAGCCCGCGGCACCAGCCGAGCGATGCCGAAGAACCGTGTTCGTCGCTCCGCCTCTTTCGCACCCCTGTGGGGGTCGCGCCGCGCGAGTGCGACAGAGACGGGGCGACGAAGCGGCCCCGCGGAGGCAGCCTGCAGGAGGGCGTAGGCGCGGCGTAGTAAGTCAATTGAGGGCGTGCGCGCCTCACGTGGTGCGCCAGGGCGTGCCAGGGCGTGCTGGCCCGGGGCGGCACGGCCAGCAGGGCCTAAAGCGGCTTACGAATCCCTTCCATTAGTGTCTAAGCGCGGCCAAGCTTGTGCTGGCGGGGGGCGGGGGCAAGGGCGGGGCAGGCAAGGGCTAGATCCGGCCCGCAAGCGATCCGAACCTCCCGGAGCGAGGGGCGGCGGGGCGGGGCGGGGCGGCGGGGTGAGGCCCTCGGCACGGCCCGCACAGTCCGAGGGGATTCGCAATTTATTGCTTCCGCGAGGGGCCAGGCCCAAACTACGTGACTGGGGGGAAAGCGGGAGAATGGACCCTCACTCTAAAAAAGCCCAAACAAATTTCACGCCCTCTGCAGAAACAACACTCGAGTCCATTCTGGACCAAAACTTAAGTAGTTTAGTATCCAAAATAGAAATTTGTTGCTGCGACTGTTAAATAAAAGATATAAAAACGGTGCTTTCTGATTTTCAGTCTGCTTTTTGGCGGATAACCTTGACACTGTACTCTGCTTCCACGTGCATGTCTGAGCTGCAGTGAGTTAGGAGGCAAGCTTCTGGGCCAGCTGGGATGAGGTATGCGCAAACAGCACATCCTCACATACTCTCACTGCTTAAGCACCTCCGTGCACCCCTCACCCCCACCCCGGCGTCTGGACGGCCGGGGTGACGTCAGACAACACCGTGCGTCATCGAAGCGCGCTTCGCCTCTGCCCCCTTCTCCTTGTTTTCCCGCGACACAACAATAACGGCGCCTTCCAGCCGCCAACTGATACAGGCTTCGCGGATTCGTGGCAGGGTCGCCGCGTCGCCAGGCCGGGCAGGCAGGCAGGCAGACCGTGGTCTGGTCGCGCCCCGCGCCGAGCCGCCCGGACCGCCCCCCCCCCCCCCCCCGGCCTTGTCATCAGAGTAAACACTATGCCCAGAGCGACCCCCTCCGCGAACCGTCTTGCCGTCTCCACTCGTTGCCATGGCAACACGCAGACGTCGCAGACGTCGCAGACGCACGGTGCAAGCGCGCTCACCATTTTGTTTGCATTTTGCTGATGTTTGGTTTGCTGCAGGGACGGCACAGGCCTTTTAAAAATGTCGAGGCACTGCACGCCAAAGACACTGTGGCTCCTTCGCTCCTTTGCCAATTTTTGAGGCAATCGGAGACCTTTCCGAAATAATGATAAAGACGCCATGAACACTCCGGGCACGCAGTCGCACCGCACCTCTCGGAAAGACCACGGTAGCTTTAAAGTTGCAACCTGTAGGCAGTCATTCCTTAGACTTTTGGCAGCTTTTTAGAGCCCTCCCTTTGCCTTTTGACAGCCCCTTCGACAGCCCTTGGGCCGGTGGTGGCGGTCTGTGCGGCGGCCTAGCTGACCCGCGCTGCACTCCGTCAAGCAGGCAACAAACAAACGTGCCTACGCCGTGCCCGGTGCCCATATCTTTCATGAAATACTATTGCCCTGCGGAGCAAAATAGCCCGAAATAGTTTCCGAAGGGGCGTTGCTAAGCGACGCCGTCCCCGCCCGGCGTATTTCACATTTCAACGTTGTTATTACACGAACAAGAACAAGGGTCCGGCGGGGATGTCGGCTGCTGCACCGCGGCGTTGCAGTCGCCATCTGCTCCCCTCTGCGTTGGCACTCTGCTCCCTCTCTCTCGACACGCGAAAAAAGAAACAACTCGTTTGAAAACACTATTTAAATTTTGGCCGGAGCCAGCCCATAGTAAAGGTGGGCGTAAGGAAACGTCACAGGCTCGAATCCCTCGCAGGTAGTTCGTGCGTGCGTGTGTGTGGGAGAGAGAGAGAGAGCGGCAGGGAATGCTCGGTCGTGGGCGTGCGAGGGAGCGCGAGGCGCGGCGTGCGAGCGACTAGAATAGCCCAGCGCCAAGTGGGCTCGCGTCGGGCCTCACTCCCGCTCGCAGTGGACCAGGTCCGCGTCGTCCTCACCGTCCGCTCCACGCCGCCGGCCCGCTCCAGCCATCCGCGTTGCGTAACGCCATGCACGGCGTTGGGGTGTTCGCGAACCTCTGCCTCTGTGCCGTGGGGGCTCGGCGTTACGTCGTCACCAGTGGAGTGGTTCCTAATGATGCAGTGCTCACGGCGAGGCGGAGTGATTCCGCGCGACGTCCCTCTCTCTCGCACCCCTTGCGGAACCCCAGGGGTGCGAGGGAGACAGCGGCAAAGTCAGGGATCAACATCACGGTCCACATGGTGATCCCCAGCACATCCACTGGCGGACCGCCCCTTCCGGCACACCCGTTGGCTGGGCGTCCCGGCCGTCCCGGCGGAGCGCGCCTGGTGCGTAGGCCAGCCCGCTGGACGCTCCAGTGTGGCGGGACAGCCCACGCTGCAGGCTGGGGAGGGGGCGGAGCTCCCCAGCGAGCGAAGCGCCAAGGCGGAAGGGCAGCACAGCATGCCTCGCGCCCCGTGCGTGCGTGTGTTTATGTAACGGTGCGTGCGCCGTGTGTGTGTGTGTGTGTGGTGTGTGTGTGTGATAAGGTGTGCTAGCTCGCGTGGGGTAGCACAGTGGTGTGAGGTAGGACGCCCCTCACAGTGTGCTGCGCTGCGTTGGCTTGAGAGAGGAAAGAGGGGGAGGGGGAGGCCCGCAGGCCGCGGGGCAGGGCCTGGCGGCGGGGCGCTGAGAGATGTTGATGACACGAGACGCCGTCGCTGCGCCGCCGATGTCTGCCGATCGCTTTACGGATTTGCTGGCTGTTTCAGACAAACAAAATAAGGCGCCGCAACCAAAATAAACCCGCAGGACGGGCGGGGCGGGGCGGGGTGGGGTGGGGCGCATGGCGCCGCGGGGCAGGCCGCGGCCGCGGGTGTATAAACCCCGATGGGCTTCAGGGCGTTAATAAAAGCCAGGTGAGTCAGACTCGGCCGCTGGCACTTGTTGTTTCGGATACGAAAATAATCGGGCCTCACGCACCGCGCGGGCAGTACAGTACACGCCGCGTAACTATGGTCATTTTGGAAGGGCGCGTCGTCTAAACAGACCGAAAACGGAGTGTTTGCTTCACATAGCCCAGTATAATCAGGAAACCAGTTTCTTTGAGGGGATCAAAACCCAAAGATAAACTTTTTCCGCGATGGTCGGTCCCTTGGGATTCCAGACTGCGTCGCGACGGTCCGTTGTTTACAGTGCGTACCCACGCGTACCCGCGCGTACCCGGGGATGGGTTCAAACGCCGCGCCCGAGGCCAGGCGCAGCCATGCCGCGCCGAGGCGGGCCGGCCGGGCGGCGGACTGCACATCCCCATGGGAAGTAGGATGTTTGGGCGGAGTTCCGCGCAGCACACCGCCCGCCAAGGCATTCGCAGCCCCGGGCAGCCCCGCCTTCCGTGTCCTTGGCAACCGTATTGACAACCACAACAGCCGTATTTCACGCGCTATTCGGCGGGGCGGGGCGGCGCACGTGCGAAGCCAGTCGAAGCGCGCCGACGCTTCGCCCATTAATCGCTGCCTATGACGAGCAGTCGACGAGATGGTTTAAATTTAGCGTCCGATACCGGCGGCGTGCGCGGCGGCGTGCGCGGCGGCGTGCGCCTGACCTACATTCGACGCAACGTGCGCGCCGCCGCCACGCCGCCACGCTCCCCCACGCTGCCGCCAAGGCCAACAAATCCATGTATCTGGATACGTCAACACGGCGCCGCTGCCGGCATTGTGAGGCCGCGGCGGCCGTCGCTCCGTCTCTCTCGCACTCGCGGGGCGTTGCGTGGGGTGCGAGAGAGACGCTGCCGGGGTGGGGTGAAGTATGGCCGCGGGAAGAAGGGTAGCTTTTGAACCGCCAACTCGGCAACATGCTTGGCGACAGCCAGGGCGGGGGATGGGGGTGCCGACTTTCCGTGCCGCGCTGCCGTGTTAGTGCTAGGTAGGGCGGCAGCCCCGAGACCCCGACCACCCCGACGGGGCAAGCCCAGCCAAAATGTTGCTCCCCGACTACGCAGACTACGCGCGCATGGACGTCACATCGCAGACGGCCCAGAGGCTTGCCCAGAGGCAGCACGCCAACATTTTCGCCGTGACATGGGCGCCAATGCACGACGCGCCCAAGACAGGGCTTCCCCACGTCGGCGAAGTTCGTCATTAGCTTGGGCAGCGAACCTTGGCCGACTCTAGGTTGACGCGTCGCAAACGGGTTGCCTCAAATGACAATCTCAAAAACAAGTCGCTAAGAAGACTTAATAATATGTTAACCCACCGATGGTCCGGACTTAACTTCGGCCCGGGTGGAGACTCACCTTGGCGGGGTCCTCGGCGTCGTGTCGCGGCGAGCTGGCGGCGTGGCCGGCCTGGCGGCGGAAGAGGTCGGCGTCAACGCTGGCGTGGTGGCGCGTCGCGATGCCCTCGAGCTGCGACGGGCTGGACGTGGTCCTCTGGTGGCACACGGGCAGGGCCGTGCCCGCCGCCGCGCCGCCGCCGCCCGGGTGCAGCGACGACAGGTCCGCGGCCGAGACCTTCCTCTTGGGCGCGCGCTCCGCCGCCCTGCCGGGCACGCCCGCGGCGGGGTCCAGCCGGTCGGTCTTGGCGGCGGCGCGGAGCTGCGAGTCGTCCATCGACAGGTTGCCCTGGTGGCGGTTGCGCGGCGCCGCGGCCTGCCGCTGCTCCCCCGACGACACGGAGCGCGTCAGCTCGGCGCTCGGCGCGGCGGGGAACGCGGACGCCACGCCGAGCGACTGCGAGGACCCGGCCCCGCCCCCGGCCGCCTTGTTGGAGAACTCCTCCAGGAACTTGAGGTCGTCCGTGTACTGCGACAGCTTGCGGTTGGCTTCGGGCTTCTTCATCTCGGCCTCCAGCATCTGGCCGTAGGGCCCCCGCAGCGGCCGCTTCGAGTACCTGCGCGGCGTGTGGGGGCTGCGCGAGTTGGAGGCCGTGGAGGGCGGCGTGCAGCCCGCGCGACCCTCCGAGTCCGACAGGTCCAGGTGCGAGTACAGCGACGGCGACGCCCTGCTCGGCGTGCTGGGCCGCCGGTCGCCCTGATCGCTCTCGCCCTCGGACAGCGAGTCCGAACGGCCCAGCATCGGGAAGCGCGGCCGCACCGGCGCGGACCCGGCCGAGCTCTCGTCGTCGCGCTCGTCCGAGCTCTGGCAGATGAGCTTGGGCCGCTCCAGCCACCGGCGGGGCTCGTCCTTGGGCCGCCGCCGCTTCAGCTCGTCCGAGTCCGCGCTCGACGGCGTCCTCGGCTCCGGCGGGCTCTTGTCCTCCACGGGCAGCGAGATCTGCGGCGGCTCTGCCGCGGCCTCGGGCTCCTCCGTCGACTTGGTGCGCTGGAACGACGGCGGCTCCAACAGCTTGGGCTTGTCCTCCTTGGAGGTCTCCTTGGGCTCCGACTTGGAGCGCTCGAAGGCGTGCTTGGGCTTGGCGGGCGTGGACGTCCACTTCCGCAGCAGGATGTCCGTGTGCCGGCTGTACAGCTCCTTCTCGTGCGGCTCCAGCTCCATGTCCTCCATGTGGAAGGACGCCTTGAGCTTCTGCAGGATCGACGGGCCGGTCTCCATCTGCTCCAGGCACTTGGGGCACGTGCTCGGGTCGAAGTTGTTGATGCAGCGGTCGTCGTGCTCCACCGGCACGCTCAGAGTCTTCATCGCCTCGCTCACCTTGCGCTCGTCGCTGTCGGCGTCCACGTTGTTGTTGTTGTTGATGCTGTTGTTGAGGTTGGCCTGCCACTCCTCGGTGCTGTCACTGTTGTTGTTCACGAGCACACTTTCATTCATCCACTTTTCGTACTCCTTGTAGTTGGGAAACTGGCGCACAAACACTTCGTAGGACACCGGGTTGTCGAGGGGCTTGATGTCGCCGGCGGCCATGTCGTCGACGAGGCTGCCGTCGCAGGGCGGCGTCTCCGGCGCCGCACCGCCGTCCCCGTGCTGCGTCGGCGCGGCATCAGTGCGCGCAGGGACGGACTCGGCGTCCGACAAGCTGGAGCAGCTGGTGGTGAACCTGGGGTCCGCGACGACGCTCAGCATGGCCCCGCTGTCCGGCCGCGACGCCCCGTCCACGTCCTCGCTGCTCAGCCCGTTGCCGGCGTTGTCGGCGGTGCCGATGGCGGCTGGGAACGCGCCATCGTCGTGGTCCCTGGAGCCGCGCGCGCCTCTGCTCGACAGTGGGTGCGTCATGGACCGCGACCCCGACGGCTTGGCGGCGCCGCGGCCCGGCGGCGGGCCCGGCGGGCCCACGGGGCCCACAGAACCCATGGAGCCGAGGCCGCCCTCGTCCGAGCCCACGGCCGAGTCCACGGCGGACTCGGTGCCGATGGACGGCGTGGAGCCGGTGGGCTGGTCCGCGGAGTCCACGGCGATGGAGGACGCCGGGCTCAGGTCATCAGGCGGCGCCGTCTTCTTGCGCGGCAGCGTGGCCGCCGTCAGCGGCTTGAGCCAGGCGGCCGCGGCGCGCGCACTGGGGTGCCGAAAGTACTTGCCGTCCGAGAAGTCCACCTGCGAGAAGGACGCGCTGCGGAAGGGGATGGTGCGCTGGATGTAGGAGCCGATGATGGCGCGCGACTCGGGCCTCGCCAGCCGCAGGTCGAACAGGTCGTCCTCCTTGGCTGGACCGTCGGCGGGGCCTGCGGGGCCTGCGGGGCCCACTGCTGTGAGTGCTGCGGCTGGTGACGCCGGGCCTTCTTGCTGGTGTAGGCCCGGTCCGAGGCCCGGCGTGGGGGTGGGGGTCGGGCTGGGGCTGGGCGTGGGGGCGGGGGTGGGGGGCGCGGAGCCTCCCTTGAGGCGCTCCGTCAGCTCGCGAAGCCGCTCCGTCTTGTCGCTGGTGCGCGCAGTGCGGCTGGCGGCATGCAAGGGGCCAGCCTTGGTGCCCTGGCGCTCCCGTGCACGGTCGCGGTCGTCGCGGCCGTCGCGGCCTCCGAAGCGGAACTTGTTAAACCTGTCCATGGGCACGGCGGCGGTGGCGGCGGCGGGGCTGGCCGCCGGGTGAGGCGCCGCGGCCGTGTCGGCAGGGGCCGAGCACAGCCGGAAGTAGGTGGGGATGTCCGGTTTGGGGCGGACGAGGATGCGTCGCCGCAGGGGGGTGGACGGCAGGGGCGGCAGAGGGGGCAGCTCCTTGCGGCGGGGCGCCTCCAGCATCTTCCTCACGCCATCCTGGACATCCTGGACATCCTGGTCCTGCTCGTCGCTACGCCGCGTCGCGCTGGTCGCGCTGCAGGGCAGGCCCGCCGCGGGCTGCACTCCTGGGCGCGCCTGGCTGCCCTGGCTTGGTGGCGACCATGCCGGCTCGCACGAGTCGCAGGCCCATGGCGGCGGAGGCTGGCCGTGCGGAGGGCCGCGGTGCACTGCGTCGGCACGGCCCCCCGGGCCCCCGGGGCCCCCAGGACCCCGACCAGGCTGCCGTTGCTGCTGTTGCTGCGGGTGTTGCGGCGGTGGCGTCCGCGGTGGCGGTTCGCCAGAAAGCGCCGGGCTAAAGATACCCTGCGTATTCATAGCCCGGCCGGTGTGTTTGTCGGGCTGCGAGGGCTGCGAGGGCTGCGACGGCAGCGGGGGCATGGCCGTCCCCGTCCAAGCCGTCCTCGCCCAGGGCAGCGTCGGCAGCGCCACGGCGCCGCAGCAGCAGCTCGCGCCGTCCTTCTCCCCGTCCCAGGCAGGCTGGGGCTGCTTCGCGGGCTTCGCGCCGCCGCCGACAGAGGGCGCCACGTCGCGTCGGCGCCGCGCCGGCACGGGGGGCGGCACTGCGGCCTGCGGGCACCTGCGGCAGAGGGAAGTCGAGCGGATGTACTCCCTGCGCCCTGCGCGCCGAGCGATACCCCGCGCCCCAGCGCCGCTAGGCTGAGCCCGGCCGAGCCGCGTCGACACGCAAAGTGCGAAGACGAAAGCACGCGGGGCGCAGGCGGCGGGGCGCAGGGGCATGCACGCCCGCGGCCATGTCACTGCCAGCGTGACGGTCCAGCGTGAGCAGCATTAGCATGTTTATTGCTCACGGAGTGACGCAGACGGACACTGCGCTGGCCCCACGCATTTTGAAGGCCGCTTTGAGTTTCAAATCGTCGAGCCGCGTTCCGTTGCGCCGCCTGGCCCGAGGTCCTGCGAGGCCCTACCCGCGCTCACCTGGACGAGGTGGGGCCGCGCCGGCCGCGCGCCAAGGCGTCAAGGTACGCCATCAAAATTATCTCGGAAAGAAATGGATGTCCTGGCCGGCGACCAAAACACACCGGCAGGTCATTCCCCGCTAGGCGGCGCCGGCCTCACGCCCAGCGCCCAGCGGAGCGGGCCCTGCGGACGCCGGTGACACACAAGGCCAACAAAATTCAAGATTCGTCGCGCTGCTCTTTTTTCCTGGGATATGGTTGAAAAAGGTGGCGCACGAATGGTAACTTTACGGGTAACCGACTTAAAGCTATACGTATTATCAAGGTTTTGGAAGAGTTTGAAACCGGAGCTTCGAAAGAGAAGGAGGCTCTCTTTGTTTCCAGTGTGGTACCCACCTTGCGGCGGCCTGCCGGGTCGGGCCCAGCAGCGCCTGCCCCTCGGCGGCCTCGTCCTCGTTGTTGTTGAAGCTGAAGCTGGGCTTGTAGATGGCCAGGGGCCGCAGCCTGGGCCGCGGCTGTCCGCGCGGCGACCTAAGTCGCAACACATGACTGTCCATGGAGGTTGGGGCGGGAGCGGGACTGGGGGCGGTGGCGGTGTCTGTTCCGTCGGCCCTCTAGGGCTGGCCGGGCTGGCCCCGAGGGGGGCCCTGCGGGGGGCCCCGCGCACCATGACCTCATCCCCTTGGGGGCCCTGCGCGCCCTGCGTCCTGCGGGGACCGAACCGGATCCAAACACCACCTCCCCTCCGTCAACACACGGGTGCCATCGCTGGGGTGCTCGGCACGCTCGGCGCGCTGGGTGCACTTGGCACTTGGAGGACACTTCGCTGGGACGGCCGCCTGTTGAGCTACGCGTCCTTCTCGTCCTCCTCGTCCAGGTACTCGTCCGAGTCCGAGTCGAGGTAGTCCGAGCCGTAGTCACCGTCGAGTGTGTCCGAGGCCATCAAGTGCTCCCTGACGGCCTCCCTGGCCTCCTTGGCGTCCTCCTCCGCCACGGCGGCGGACAGCAGCATGCGGAACAGTAGCAGCAGGATCAGCAGCATGCCTGCAACACGGAGTGGGGCGTTACAAGCAAAACGGAACCCTCTCGCGCGCCAAAATCAAAATTGCCATCATCAGTTTTGCACGCCATTCCCAACAATCTTCATAGAAACGTAAGAACCGCTTCGACTGCAAGTCGTAGGTGGCCTCTCTGAAGAATGCGCAGCCAGCAGGCGCATCTCTCTCGCACTCGTGGGACATTCCGCTGCGGCGTAGCGGGGCGAGAGAGACAGAGCGACGAATCAGAGCGCGGTCCGCATTCAGGCGGCGGTTTCAATGTGTTCTGCCCGGTGCACTGTGGCAGTGCTGCACCCGCTGCACATTCCGAAGGGCCGACCAGTGGGCAGCGGCCGGGAGGGGGGAGGGGGAGGGGGAGAGGGATGAGGAGGAGAGGGAGGGAGGGAGAGTCGTGCCGAGTCGGCAGCCTCACCGCAACCAAGCCGTGCGCAGGCAACCCCAACACGCGACGCCAGGACAAAGAAAATCACTCTCAGATTTTCCACTTGTACCAGAAACATGCTCTCGCAGTCTGACTCCACTGGCCAACGGATTGTTCCGCTGTGGGGCACTCTCTCAGTCTCCCTTCCTCTCTCGAGAGCCTTGTACACGCCTCCCCCCCCCCTCTCCTTCCCTCAGCGCTGACCCGCCGCAATAATGTACATCGCTGACACTGTCATATTTGTTAAGACACTTTATCGTTCATCTAGTCCATTCAGGACATTCAGGACATTCAGACCCGTGCCGCACTTCCCACTGCTCGACGCAGCGGAGCCCGCCCCGCCCCGGCCCGCCCCACCCCGCCCCGCTGAGTGACCCGACAGCCATCCTTTGGACGCGGACCGCAGTGAAACATTGTAGCGCCCCGCCCCGCCCCGCCCCGCCCCGCCCCGCCTTGCAGACTCCCTGAAGCATGTGCCAAGCCCAGTGACCACGCCACTTACAAACGCGAGGGTGCCTGGTGGGCAGCGGGGCATCACCAAGTAGACCATTTCGCAAGAATGGGGTTGGTACTCTAGGTTCACAGCGACGTTTGCTCCCCACACTGAGTTATGATTGCCGAAGCGACATCAGTTTGCTAAACATCTGCCTCAAAAGTGAACATTTTCGACGAGCCGGCGATCCGGGGGCGAGGATGGTTTAGCGGGGCCTTGGTGCCCGGGCCGGGTGGGCCGGGGGCGAGCTGGGCTGGGGGGTCAGCTGGCAATACATCTGCAAGTCTGACCCGACGGGGCCGTCCGGGGCCGTCCCGGTCTCGCCTCGCCAAACTAGAAACAACACAGCCAGTCTGCAGGCCTCCGTCTCTCTCGCACTGGCTCTCCACGACGCTGCAAGAGAGAGAGAGCGGCCTTACAACCACACCGCGAAAGAGGCGAAGGCAGGGACACGGTCGGGGTGGAGTGTGGTCGGGAACAAGGGGGCAGAGGGCCTGGACTCCCCCCCCCCCCCCCGAACCGCCGCGCAGACGAGCGGCGGGCAAAGTACAGCGGCCAACTTGAAGGCGGTGGCCGCGCTACACTAACTTTGTTGGCGGATTCAGCAACGACCCGCATGAATTGATATTAGCGCGCGAAACCCTCCCCCTGCCCCCGCCCCTTTGCCCTCGTCTGAAAGGGGGCAGAGCGAGGTTTTTCCTCTTGGCGGGAATTTCAGCGTGCCGCATTTTCGCTAAGCGATCGGTCCATCCTGCAGCCCGCGGCGTTGCGGCCTGTGGCTTTGGTTTCCGGAATAGAAGCAAAACAAAAACACGGCCAGGCGTCCGCACTGCCGGCACACTGGCGGGGAGGTCCCCGAGTTGCCCCCGCCGCCCCACAGCCCCGCGTGCGTGCGCCCCGCGACACGTCCTGCTGTCTCCGTCGCACTCGCGGGGCGTCCCACGCGGCGCGCGAGAGAGAGCGACGGACGTCTTGGCCGCGTGCCGCGACCAGACGCGACGCGGGCAGACGTCACCGCCGGCCCTGGACGCCTCGGGGCCCTCGGGGCCCTCGGGGGTGCGGCCTGGGGTGCCTGGGGCCGGCAAGCCGCGGAATAGGATTTCAAATTTACCGCC